CCCCACCTCTACTCTTTTCTCAACTCCCTTTCCCAGGCCCACAAATAAACTCTCTTCTATACTAGACCTGCCATATGGCTGGTACCTGAGGGGGAAGGGATGCCTTAGCGTGGGCCCGCCGAGGCACCCCTCCCACCTCACCATATCTCATCCTACTAACATATCCTGGGTCCTTTTTATAAAACACAACAAGTGGTCCTTGGGCTTCTGCACAGTCACTTACTTGGTCCAGGGTTTACATTTGTCTGTGGATGAAGAGACATCTGAGAAGAAGCCCAGGAGGCAGGGCGTGCACACTGTGTCCATGTTGAGCTGCACTGTCAAAAAACAAACAAACAAAAAACAGATAAAAAGCAAGGGGACACTTAGATATCGGCCAGGATGGCGTCTTGTCCCTGGAGTACTACCCCCATGTCTCCCAAGTCTGCCTGGCCAGCTGTATCTCCTGCCTTCAGCTCCTCCAGGCTTGGGGGGAGGAAGAGCTTACAGCGTTTTGTTCAGAAAATGGCTTCTTTCACATCAGGCCACTGAGACTAATGTCCAGCTAAAGCCAGCTTTGCCTTCAACATATTTCCTCTATAGTCTTATGTAGCTGGAATTTGCTGTCTGGCTATCCCCAGCCTTCATGGCTGCATCGGCTTTCACCAGCCAGCAAATGTGGTACCATCACTATCTATGAGGGAAATCAGTTCTTCCAAATCCAAGGTATGTGGTTACTCGAATGTCAAGGGGCAGGAGTGGTTTTTGAAACATTTCTGGTCCCAAGCATGTTGGATATAAGCTATAAGACACTATTCACTACAAAAGTTATGATTTCAAAACCCAGAACAATTGAAATGCCTGAATCAACAGTTAACTTCTTAAATAAATGGTGGTGCATTGCCACAGTGACAATGGTCAGCTTGACTTCACCAGGCTAAGGACCAACTTAGCTTACCAACTACACCTTTCCCCCTCTAAAAACAATCAATCAAACAAACGAACAAACAAACCAAAACCAACCTTGTAAGTTTCTTCCTCCTGTACAAGGATTGGAATCTAGCTTTTCTACCAAGGGATGACATGATTACCTAGAGCCTCTGCTGTAATGTCTCATAGCACAGAAGTAATTACTGACACTGTGTGAAGGAAGAGGACTGGGCTGCATCCCAAGCGAACATAGACACAAGTGATGAGAAAGCATGCATCTTGCCTTCATCCACAATACTCAGAGCAGATACTGGTCCTGACCAGAGATCCTGATTCACTCTCCTGTTCCTCCTAAGCATCCTAAGAGATGTCTCAGGCGTCTCCTGTCTTTATTGTATCTGGCTCACGATGTCTTGGTAAGCACAAGCAAACAAGACTGAGTGCAATGTGAAACCAACATCAGGCCATTGGCTGGTGCCAAACCCACAAATGACTTTTGGGTAGTAGCATTTCTGTGACTTATTTTTCAAAAAATACAAACCTAAAATGAGAAATTAAAATTCTTGGTACATGCCTGAGGTATATGTCTGATTTTTATAATTTGGCTCAATAAATAAGATACAGTGTCACACTGGACAATGTGACTGACTTTCAAACAATTGTAGCAATGGCAGGACCATTTACCAACTAACATTGACTGAGACAGCATTTTTAAACATGAACACAGGGGCTAGAGTTTGGTTCCCAGCGCCCACACACAAAGGCCTGTAATGCTCAGTGGATTCAAGACCTCTGGTTTCCTCAGATACTGGCATTCACACTGCATGCACAGTTTTACAACCAGGTTTCTCACACTAAAGGAGAAGTCACACTCCTATCTGCTCCACACCCTGCTGTAGACCTAAGTCTTAGCTGTACTGTATTCTAAGCCAGGAGGTGAAATACCAGAGACCATAAAACTGGACTCACAGCAGCCTGGTCCTGTTTCTTTTTCCCTCCTGGCCCAGAGCAGAAGAGTGGACAGAGAATGGTATTGGGGACCAGGTCAGCTGTTTTGAATTCAAATAGACTGCAAGTTGGGGCATGAGTGATTGATTCTTTTGTGGGTAGAGGAGAGAGTCTCTTGTAGCCCAGGCTGGCCTCAAACTCACTGTGTAGCTAAAGATGGCTCTGAACTTCTGATCCTCCTGCCTTAATGCCAGAGTGCTAGGATTACCAATGTGCCACCATTCTAGGATTTATTCGGTACTAGACATCAAATCCAGGAATTTGTGCACAAAGCTGGCGAGCATTCTACCAACTGAGCTTACATCCCCAGCCGCAGAAGTGAATTTCATTCACCTACTGTCAAAAGTGTATCTTTTCCAAGGCTTGAAGGCTAAGGGAACTGTTAGGTCTCACACCCTGGTCAAAGGCTGAGGTTCCTATTAACACATCCAAGCAGACACCAGTGCCAGCAGGTTCTCCCAGCATCCTTCAGTCCCAGGTACAGGGTCTGCTTGTCTGCAAATCCCGCCCCCCACTGACTCCCCCAGCCCAGGGGCTGGGCTGATCTTCCCCAAGCTGCCTCTCCCTGTATGATCCAGCCATTTTGGTTACACTACTTCTTTTTACCCTTTAAATCCTGACCTCTTCCTGGTCTACTGGCTCTCATCTGTCCCCTCTCCTCCCCCCTCTCCCCACATGGTGCAGCTCATGATCATGTCCAGCCTGGATTCTCCCAGATGGGTCCGCCTCAGGCTATGCTCTCCCATATATCTATAATAAGCCTTCTCCACCATGCCCAGGAGAAGTCATATCCTTCTTATTTCTTTTTTTTTCATCCAAGAACATCGTCCAGAAATCATAAAGTTCACACCTAGTTCACAAAGGTGGGAAGTCTGTGGCCAGGTCGAGGGCTTTGTCTATTTTAAAAGCAGAATTCGGAGGGAGTCAATATGGTAGGTAGGGAGGTCTGTCTTTGGGAATTAAAAGCTCAAGTTGACTTTTCCGAGAGAGAGCATATGCAGGTGAGTCAGGGCTGAGGCAGAGGCCTGCTGTACTAGCTAGATACATTCTTCCGTGTGGACTCAAGTAATTAATATTTTAATTTTCCCAGCCCTTGTCCAAGCATGCTGGCTTTAAAATCATGTCTTTAAGTGAAAGACTGGCACGAATCAGCAGCCACTGGTTACACTCTGAAAACCTGCTTTGTAACACTTCCTGGAAGCTGGGAGAGCGACTGACTCTCAGAAGCACTTTCGTAAGCTGAAAGGATTTCTGCTTCTGTGCTTTCAACAAAGCTGAAGGACACAATGGGGTTCTCAGATGACAGAGCATTAAAAATAGACCCGACTTCACGTCACTAGTGAGCAAAGATGTCGGACTCAGAAGGTGCTCTGGGAACTGTGAGTCTCAGCAGCTCCATAAACAACAGCTCAGAGACTGGAAGTGCGAAAGGACTCTGGGTGCTAATGCATAGCACTAGCCCCACACTCTGCCCCAGTGCAAACCCGGCAAGCCTACTCTCAAAGTTCAGAAGGTGTGAACGTTTACAACTTTTTTTTTTTTTTTGGTTTTTTGAGACAGGGTTTCTCTTTGTAGCCCTGGCTGTCCTGGAACTCACTCTGTAGACCAGGCTGGCCTCGAACTCAGAAATCCGCCTGCCTCTGCCTCCCAAGGGCTGGGGTTAAAGGCATGCGCCACCACCGCCCGGCCATTTACAACTTTATAAAGAATTTAAAAGGCATATAATGAGCATGGTGGCAGCTCTATCTATGAAGGAAAAAAAACCTACCCAAGTCAATTCAATTAAATTTTTTGTTTTCAAATTAGTGCTTACACTTCATGTGAAGGGATATGAAAAGGTGATTAGCAAAGACTTCCAGGTAGAAGGTGGGTGAATGCAAACAGAGAAGGAAGTGTGTGTCCTTGGCAACAGCCAGGTGAAGTCCAGCTTTTACACTCCTGGGGCTGGCGTGCAGGGGTGAGGGGAGACTGGGCTTTGCACTCCCGTGGCTGGAGTGCAGGGGTGAGGGGAGACAGGGTTTTACACTTCCGTGGCTGGCTTGCAGGGCAGGGGCTGCGGTCAGAAGACCTCCCGGCTCTGTCTACAGGAGCTTCCACTTTTGTTTCGTTTTAGGCAAAGTCTCTCACTGGCCTGGAACTTGGCCTAAGCTAGCTGGCCAGTCTGCTTCAGGGATTCACGTGTACTGGCTTCCCCTCTTGCTGGAGCTGGGATTGGCTTTTACTGTGGGTTTTTGGTTCTCACGCTTGGGAAGCACTTTACAGCAGAAATATCTGTCTCCCAGGCCTCCATCGCCTGCTTTCAAAGTGTTATTGCGGCTGCAGTTTCCCAACAGCAAAGTCTTTAGGAGCCCTTTACATTTGAAATAATGTTTGTAGATGTCAGTTTACAGTGTGTCCAGAGGTGCGCACCCTCTTCTAAGAGGCCGTGTGCTCTGTAATGCTTTGGCGTATCTCTGCACTATACTATTTAATACTAAGTGAGTACCCTCGGGTTTCACATATTGAGAACCATAGCCACAAAAGGGACAGAGGGGTGAGGGAATTTGGGACGACTGCCCGTGTGCTGTTCCAAACCAGACTAAACTGATGGTTCAGCTGTAGTTCTTTGGAGGTAGCTGGGCTCCCTGGAGGACCCTTGACACAGCCATGACAAATCCCAGGAAGCCCCCTGGACAGGGGTTAAAGGCAGGGCTCGTTGGGAGAGCTTACACCAGCAACCGTGCAGCCATACAGGGATACTGGGTGACAGACACACAAGTAACCGAGCCGTACAGGGATGCTGAGCTCCGAAGCCCGGTGCGCACTCCGTGTTCCGGCGGCAACACTCGCAGTCTGCGTTCCAGTGGTAGCCTGCCGTGCAGGCACAGCGACGTGGGGCCGTGTGGTTGCCAGGATCCACCGCCACCAGGGCTTTGCCTGCAGGAGACAAGAGACGATCAGCGTCCAATCAGCGTCCAGCGAGGGGCAGGAGATGCAGATACACTGTCTCCCTCCCAGTTCCAAACAGCCCACTAGCCAGCTGCATCTGGCTGCCAACAGAATGACTCACTGTGGGTTTGAGGAACTCCGGAGTTCCTTCCCATACTTCCTTATTGGTAGGAAACCGTCCAACAGACCCGTTTTGCCCTAATAACTGGGAGTTGTGTAGGCTGTCTAAACAGTCTTGTGTTAGTAGGTTTTGTTATTTAAACACACAGCAGTGAACAGTTGCTTGACTTTTGTGTTCTTTGGTAAATGCAGATGTCACACACACTGTTAAGCAAAGTTTAGCTAGACATCAGGGCTTTTCTGGAGCTGTGAACTCATCCCCGGGGTCCTGAAGGCTCTGTCTGGGGTGCTAGACAAGTGGACAAAGCAGAAGCAGGCAGTGGGCCACACTTGGGCAGCAGACTGTCCCATGGGCCAGGGTTACACACTGTGTCTTCCCAATAGAGGGAAAGTGCCTGCCTTCCTACCCTAATCTTCCAGCTTCTCTTAGTTTTCCAGAATATAGGCATATGGGGATTTAAGCTATAGTAACTCATTTAACTATATAAGTGTCCAACACACACAAATCATTCTTGTTACTCAGATTCACAGGAATTTCTGTGTTCACTATACCTTCTATCAACAGAGTGTGTTTGCAGTCATTCCTGGACATGGTGAACCACACAAGGCTTAGAGTCACTCTACACTCCTAACAGGAACCTCTTTTCCTCCCCGTCTCTGCCTCCCACCTTCCAGTGTAGTACTGGAGACTGAAACTACAACCTCACGCATGCCAGTCATGCAGCCCACCACTTGGTTAGGTCCCCAGCCTAAACTAGTCTCCTTGCTGCTGTCTATCCAATGTTGATTTTCTCAGTTTTGCTTTCATTGGACGATGACCTATTTTAAATGGTCCCACGTGCAGTGGTGTCTTGTGTTCTACATACAAGAAGGCAGTGATGTACCTTGCCCAGAAAACATATGTGTGGTATAAAGTTTTGTATAAGTTTGAGTTGTGTGCCTACTCAAAAACGTATCTAGTAAACAATAACACACAGGAAAAGGGATATGTGCCGGTGGTGATGTCCCACTGGCCCCAGGGGCTTGTTAGAATCCAGGTCTAAATTCTCTTAGGAGCAGTCAGTGGTTCAGGACTCACTAATTCAATGGTTGTGCTGACTTCATAGAACATAGCTACTGTAAATAAGGAAACTGGATTGTACAGGCGTGCACGCACATAAAGTTATAACTATTTAAAATCACCTAGGTGACTATAGAAACCGCTTACTGGTTAAAAGCCCATTCTGCTCCTGCAGAATCTACATTCCATTCCCAGCACTTGTTGAGGTTTGGTCATTTGCTTGTATTGTAATGCTAAATACCGACACACACACACACAAAGGCCTAATTGGTCCAAGGATGAATTTGCACATAGACCAAAATGACTATGTGATCTTGCTCCCAAGTTATCCCTGATTGGTGAATAAAGATGCCTACAGCCTGTAGCTCAACATAATTGAGATAGGCTGGGCTGGGGTTCCTGAGCTTGGGCTTGGAGGCTTTGAGGAGAGGAGAGGAGAGGAG